GAGAAGAGAAGAGAAGAGAAGAGAAGAGAAGAGAAGAGAAGAGAAGAGAAGAGAAGAGAAGAGAAGAGAAGAGAAGAGAAGAGAAGAGAAGAGAAGAGAAATCTTTCTGAACGGCGGGGATCATTACAAAGTGGGTTATAGGCATGAGAAGCCACATGCTTATCTCTGGTCATCTGAACAACTAATTTGAAGACAACAATATGCAATGTAACAACCATTGTTGAATTCCTATTATTTTGTTTACTGAAATTCTGTAGGGTTTCTAATGTTTGTGGGGTTTTCTTGTTTGTTTATTTATGTTTTTTAAAATTCTCTCTAAAAAAGCAAAAAAGAGAGGTTGCAATTATTCAGTGGTATAAATGCCTGCCTGGCAAGCACAAGGTCATGAGTGTGATCCCTGGCACCAAAAAATTAAAAAAAAAAAAATTTAAATAGGTGTCAGTACCACATACAAAACAGGGGCAGATAAAAATAAACTGGCAATATGTTTGTTTTTGTTTGCTTGTTTATTCATTTCAGTGATGGGGATTGAAGCCAGGCCCTTCTCTCTGAGCAATGTCCCAGTCCTTTGTATTTTTGGTGACAGGGTCTAGCCGAGTCACAGCATTGCCCACGATGATACTAGATTTGCAATCCTCAGCCTCCCATAGTGTTGGAATTGCAGAAATGTGCCAGCACACCTGGCACAAGTATGCTTTGTGAAACATAGAGAGAAACATCAGAAAAGAGAACACTGGTGGTGGTGCAAAGCTCAGCCTCAACAGCCAGTGCTGGCAGCTCCCAGGAAGGAAGGGAGTTTGAGCTGATGTGTGGGTGACTCATTCCCCTGAGTAGCTACAATCAGAAGTGGCTCCTACCCCACCCAAAGAACATCTTTTGCCAAGTTATCAGTGGCAGCATCAAATTCACTCTGTATTACTAATTTGGGAGAAAGGCACGTTTATCACTTAATCAAGTCATATGCTTTCGGTTATCTTCTACCTGTTTCTCTCTGAAAACAGAAATAATACTTATTAAAAGGCTGTCATGGGCTAGTTAGTCTTCAATTAACATATGTAATGGCTATTCTAAAAATCAAATTATAGGGGGAAGATGAAATGCAATTAAATAAGTTTCTTTTTTTATGTATTTATTACAGGGTCTACAGTGTGTACATGTTCTCACTATGTAAATTGGACCCATACCGATCCTCTTGTGTTCAGCCTCCCAGGCATTGGGATTGCAGGCATGCAACACTATGCCCAGTCTCAATCGCTGTCTCAGAGCACCCTGGGGGTGGGGCCGGAACGCCTTGCTGGGGATTGAATCCCAGCCGCTGGTTCTGCCTAAGCAAGTGTTTTAGTTGGCTGAGCTATCTGGTTGGCCCTAAATGAGCTTCATTGAGGTGTGCTGTTTTCTTTTTTTTCTTCTTCATTGGTTTGTTTTCCTGAGACAGGGTCTCACTATAGAGTTCAGGCTGAACTTGAACTCACTGGGTAGCCCAGGATTACAGCAATCATCCTGTGTATTCCTCCTGAATGCTGGGACTACAGTATGTGCCATCATGCTCCTCAACCCACTTTCTTGAGTTTGAAGTTCCAGCAATGGAACCACTAACGTGATCAAGCTATAAAACATCTTCAATAATGCACTCTTCCCATCAATTCCTGTCATGTCCCATAGAAAAAGTATCCATGTCTTCATTATTTATTTCATCACAGGGATTCTTGCCTGCCTTTTAACTATTTATTTGGCATAGGATATTGCATGTGGTACCAGGGATTGAACCTGGGTCCTTATGCTTGTCAGGCACGTGCTTAGGCTGCTGAGCTATCTCCCCAACCCTGCCTTTTAACTTTGTATGAATGAGACAAGCTCTGTGTAGACTTCCATGTCTGAGATGTTTTTTTTCTCAATAGTATGTCACCAAGTGCAGTTACACTTTGTTTATCCTCACGACGGTAGCATTCCAGTGTATGAGCGTAACACAATTCATTCACACATTCCACAGCAACTGCCACTGGGGCAGTTTCAAGTTTGGAACTTGAATGATGTTTTAAATATTCTAATCTACACAGTAGAGTGTTACTCATCCTTTCAAATACACTACACCCTGCCATTGCTGCAATGTAGATAACCTACAGGGCACTGTGCTAAGTGAGGTAAGTCAGACTTAAAAGAAAGACTATGGAACAGTTCACTCATAAGAAGGACTGAAGATAATCAGACTCACACAAACAGACTAGAGCTTGCCAGGAGCTAAGAAAGGGGGAAGTGAAGACTTGCTGTTCAGAGGTGACAAGCTTCAGTTTAAAAAGACAGAGAAGTTCTAGAGATCTTTTCTACAACACAGTGCCTATACTTAGTAATTAGAAAATGGGAGGGCCAAGGACATAGCTTAGTGACACAAGCGCCTGCCTGGCAAACACAAGATCCTGAGTTTGATCCCTGTGCCACAAAAAGAAAGAAAAAGGGCCGGTGAGATAGTTCAGTGGACTAAGTTCCTGCTTAGGCAAGTACAGGGACTAGGGTTCGATCCCTGGCACCATATGCATTGTCAGACCAGCCCCCTGTACACTGAGCCAGTGACCCAGTCTAAGTGTGGTGGCACATGCCTGTAATCCCAACGCTGGGGAAGCTGAAAAGAGGAGGATCACTAGGAGTCTGAGCTGCATAGTGAGACCTTGTACTAACTAATCAATTAAATTAAAACAAAGAAAACAAAAATGGACAAAAATATGTCACAGAAAAGTGGAAATAATCCAGGTGGCCATCCATGGATGAATGGATAAATAAATGGGGCATACCTAAACAGAGTATTACTCAGCAATAAGATTGAATAAAATACTAAAACCTCCTGTGATATGGAGAAACTTTACAAATGCTGTACTAAATGAAAGACAACCTGCTCCAGCAGTGGCAGGCCCATGGGACAAAGGTGTTATTATATGAGTTTCTTTTTCTAAATGGAAACGTTTGTGTTCAGGTTTAATTCTATTACTGGCACTTTGTGATAAATCTCTGGGTTTTGGTTGCAATTTGAGTGATTATCTCTAAAAAGTTCACCATCACTGGCCTGCTCTACGGGTAAAAATTTCTTTTGATAGTGATAAAAAATGTTTTAAAATTGCTTGAAGTGACAACCACACAATTCTGTGAAGATACTGAAATCCATTCATTGTACACCTCCATTGAATCAACTGTAGGGGGACTACATCTCAGTAAAACTGTTTTTAAAAAATTTAAATTCTTACTTATATCCCTTGGTAGACAATATGGACCCCACTCTCTTAGCTGTCTACCCAGGGAAGGAGTTAACAGGTCAGAAGGTGTATAAATCTTCAGCTTTCGTAGATCCTACCTTATCAGCCTTCTGGAATGTATTACAGTCCCACCAGCAATGCAGAAGCCTTCCAACAGCTCCTCCTTCTCATCAGCGTTTGTTTTGTTTGTCTCTCACTGCAGCCAGTCTGGTTGAAAATATTCAGTTTTTAATAAGGTAGAATTAGCTTTTCCCCTGAAATAGGAGAGATGAGTTTGTGACAGTCAGGTTCACTTGGGATGTGACTTCCTGGTTTCAGTTATGAGAGTAGTATGCCTGGTTATATTTTTAACATTATTGTTATTGCCTCTTTCTCTTCAATGAGGTGACTGAGTGGCAGGCGCAGAGATGCAGATCTTTGTGAAGACCATCACCCTCGAGGTCAAACCCAGTGACACCATTGAGAATGTCAAAGCCAAGATCCAAGACAAGGAGGGCATCCCACCTGTTCAGCAGCATCTGATATGTGCTGGCAAATAACTGGAGGACGGTCGGACTCTCTGACTACAATATCCAAAAAGAGTCCACCCTGCACCTGTTGCTTCGCCTGCGAGGTGGGATCATTGAGCCATCCCTGCACCAGCTCACCCAGGAGTACAACTGTCTCAAGATGATCTACTGCAAGTGCTATGCTCGCCTGCGCCCCTATGCTGTCAACTGCTGCAAGAAGAAATGTGGCCACACCAACAGCCTGCACCCCAAGAAGAAGGTCAAGTAAAGCTCAGCTAGCCCCTCATCCAAAAGGGCACTACCTGCCCAATGCCTGCAGCCTTGGGGCCTGAATAATGTTTCCCTCCCTTGACCAAAAAAAAAAAAATTATTTCATGGATGTATAGTTCATGTATATAGAATGCACAAATCTTCAGTGTATGGTTCAGTGGATTTTTCATTTAATTTTTACAGTTACGAGATCACCCACAAGAGAGGCAGATCATTATCCCAGAAAATTTGCTTATAATTTTTACTGATCATTCTCTAAGAGATACATTTTCTTTTTTTTTTTTTCTTTTTCTTTTTTTTTTTTTTTTTGGTGGAACCGGGGATTGAACTCAAGCCCTTGCGCTTGCCAGGCAAGTGCTTATTCCACTGAGCCATCTCCCCAGCCCCGAGATACATTTTCTTAATTTTCCACTGTACGTGCATTTGGCTTGTTATGAGACTTAAAAAAAAAAAAAAGAAAAGAAATGTTACAGTATGTATTCTTTTGTGTGAGATTTATTTTGATCATCATAGTGTTTTGAGATCCACTCATGTTGTTGGCTATCTCACCGCTTTATTCCTTACTGGTTTTTTTTTTTTGTTTGTCTGTTTTGTTGTTGTTGTTTTTGTTTTTTTGTTTTGCGGTACTGGGGATTGAACTCAGGGCCCTGCGCTTGCTGGGCAGGCACTTATTCCACTGAACTATCTCCCCGGCCCTATTCCTTAAGTTATATAACATCTCATTGTATGGGCAGAGCACAATTAATCCATTCATACATTTGCATCCTTTCCAGTATGGAGCTATTATGAATAGAACTGCTGTCAATATTCGCCTACAAGTTTAGGGCTTTTTAAAAAACAATAGATACTTCGGAGTAGAATGGCTAGGCCATGTAGGGGTACTCACTGCCTGGTACATTTCCTACTGGCAGATGGGAGATCTGGTCGCTTCAGATCTGAGCCAATATGGGCACTGTCAAGTCTTTTTAGTCTTGGCCATTCTGACAATGGTAATGGCTTCTCCCTGTGGCTTTCATTTACAATTCTCAGGTGACTAACAGGTTGGGTATCTTTTCATGTTCTTACAATTTTCATAACTTCTTTGATGAGGTGTCCAAACCTTTTGCTCATTTTTTAATTGAGCTGAAAGGGCTCTTTTTATATTCAGATTCAAGTCTTATGTCCATACAGGTATTGTGGAAATTTTTTTCCAGTCTCTGGTCACCAGTTCATTTTCTTAGCCATGCCTTGTTCTCAGTAATCTTTTTTTGTTTGTTTGTTTGTTTTTTGTTTTTTTGCAGAACCAGGAATTGAACTCAGGTCCTTGCACTTGCCAGGCAATCACTTATTCTACTGAGCTAGCTCCCTGGCCCCTATCACAGTACTCTTTACTTGTTTTTATTTTGTGTTTTAAGGAAAGGACATGAGTATTTTCACTTGCCCCAGCATTATGCTTTTTACAAGAAACAATTATATTTCATTCCCATGTTACAGCTAAGAGTCATGCGAACCAGGGAGTATAAATGCCTCCTTGACTCCATGCACTAAATAGCAGTTCCAGGGTTCAGTCCCAGGACTCCAAAACCCAAGACTCTGTCCAGCTGTACACTGAATTCCCAATCAAACCCAGCAAAACAAAGGAAATCACACCAGATTGTTTGCAATAAATACATTATTAGGATAAGAAACAAAAAAGATCAACTGAGCCTCCAGGGCCAGAGGTAACCAACTGGGGTCTCTTGTGCTTTTAGATATAAAATATAAGAATAAATAGAGACCTTAAGGAAGGAAATACCTCCTCCAAAAGAAATAAAAAACGTGACCAGTCTCTGCTCCGGAGTAATCTCTGATGAGAACATTTAATCAATTAGCATTGCTGTTGTCAAAACTTGCTTCCCACGGAGCCAAGAGGCTGCCTGCGGCACATCCCAGCGGCAGCCTCCCTTTCCTGGGCTGGGATTCATCCCTGCAAGAAAAGTCATGTTTTCTCTCAGCCCCAGATGTAAAACCAGAGGCTGCTTATCTGGTATCATTTATCTCTATGCTAATAAAATGTCAGTCCCCAAGGGAAAACTTAAAAAGGGCCCTGCTGTTGTCTCTGCTCCTCAGAGGACAGACACCCCATTGCGGGTCCACCTCCTTGCTCTGTGGGCCAGGCTAACATTCCCGGGGTCTCTGGAGGAGTAAGTCCAGAAAATGAGCAAGGCCCTGCTTTACAGTTGCTCTTCACAGGGGCTCCAGGGGTCAGGAGTCACCAAGTACCTCCCGAGCGCTGGCCTCTGTCCACAACACACAGCTTTGCTCCTTCTAGGACCCAGGCAGGGAGTCAGCAGGCCCATTTCACCAGTGAAGCCCCTGAAGCACCAGCGTTTGCCTCCTGTCTGACTGGTTTGTGAGCCTTTCAGCAGGTGGGGCTTGGCAATGCCTTTTCTGTCCTCACAGCAGGCAAGTGGACACTGACTTTGTACACAGTTCACACAGGTGCAAACTGACGCTCAGGGACATGATGCAAGCAGCACAGAACCTCACAGCTGACCTGTGGAAGGACTGTCAAAGGTGTAAAGATCCAAAGAACTTTCAGAGTAGCTTTAACTGCAGATGCTTTCTGCCTTCCCTAAGTGCACATGCACTGTACCCCTGACAGCGGACTGTCTGTTGCCCCACAGCCAAGGTCAATGAGCCTGCTCGGAGGTGGATGCTGTGGCATGAAGTGTGGGGGGCTCAAGCAGGCCCTGAAGGTTCTGGAACCCAGGCTGGCCCTCCACTCTGAGGAAATGTCCCCTGAAAGCTTGTAGACAACCAAAAACCACAGGTCATATTTTGATTCCTTTCTGTTGTGATTTAGGGAAAGCATTAAAGTCAAGGGTGATATGACTGGCCTGTAATTTCAGCCCTTGAAAGGCTGAAGCAGGAAGATCACCATGATTTCAAGGTCAGCCTGAAGTGCAAAGTGAGTGCAAGGGCAGCCTGAACTACAAAGCAAGACCTTGTCTCCAAGATGCGGAAAAAGGAAGAGGAGGAGGAGGAGGAGGAGGAGGAGGAAGAGAAAAAAGGAGGAGGAGGAAGAGGAAGAAGGAGAAGGAGGAGAAAGGGGAAGGGGAAGGGGAAGGGGAAGAAGAAGAAGAAGAAGAAGAAGAAGAAGGAGGAGGAGGAGGAGGAGGAGGAGGAGAAGAAGAAACAAATAATTGTATAAACTCTCCACCCTAGAAGAATAAGGAAAGATAACATACTGAAATATCCTGTGATCACTGAAACTTTTTTTTTTTTTTCAGAACCAGGGATTGAACTCAGGCCCTTGCACTTGCTAGGGAAGCACTTATTCCACTGAGCCATCTGCCCAGCCCCACTGAAACTATTTGAGATATACACCTACATTATCAGTCTCAGGCTTCTGAAGGACAGTACATAATCCAGACAGACAAAGACCAAATCATGGAGAATTGTCAGTATAGTAGCTAATTATCCATAACAAAAGTAATACACAAGAGGCTGAGGCAGTGCTTCCCCACTGGCCTCTCATATAGGAGGCTCTGGATTTGGTGGCACAGCACCACAAAGTAAATAAATTCATGAATTTGTGCCATAAAAAAATGTATTTGTTGTTATAAGAAGCAATAATACATTGAAGTAATAAACAATAAAGAGAAAAACAATAGCTGAAACTAAAATCAGCAGCAATAATTACAGTTTTTTATGGGCCAAGCTCTCTTCTATATGCTTTCCAAGTATCCATTTATTTAAGCCTTTAAACAACTCTGTGAAGTGGGAACTATTACAAAGCCTTAATTTATAGGCTGGGAAACTGAGGTACTCAGGAACCACAGGCTTATTCCTGGTGAAGTAAAGCCAGTAGGGCTCCTTCCTGAAAGGTAGAAGAAACCCAGAAAGGTGACGGACAGTAACTGGACCCTGGCCTCTCAGCTAGGGACCTCAATTTGAGAATCCTTTAGGGAAAGCTGGAAGGCACAGGAGGGCCCTTGGGGCTCCCCAACAACAAGTCGAGTCCCAACGGAGGGGGAAATTGGTTATCCAACCCCACCTGCTCTGGCTTGCCCTGGGAGACCTAGAAAAATTGGAGGCGCTGTACAGGGGGCATGCTCCTACTCCTTAGGCTTCAGCCTCCCAAAGAAGACCAGGCAGAGGCCTGACAGGGCAGCACACACCTGTAATCTGAACACTCTGGGAGGTTGAGGCAGGAGGATCATGAATTCAAGCTGAACCTGAGCAACTTGGTAACTTCGCAAGACCCTGTCACAAAATGAAAATAAAAAGGGCTGGGAATATAGCCTGGTGCAAAGGCCCTGCGTGCAGTCCTCCGTACAACAAAACAAAACAGACCCAGCAGCCGAGGGCAGCAAAGGGATGGAGAGAAGGGGGAGTAAGGTCTGGCAGGATCTGAGTCAGGAAACGGAGAGGTGGCAAAATCCACCGAGCTTCATTAACTGTTTCTTGCACATGAAAGCCTTCCTTTCACAGCTCATTCCCACTGTTTGCCCTCAGTTCTCCCCCTCCCACCCCTGCTTGCAGGGCCCCCCCTAGCCCCCACTCCCTATGACAAACTTTCAGCCCAGGTTTCTTTTGTTTTTCTCTCTTTTGAGGAACACTGACAAGTACCTGTTCTGTTCTAGATCCTGGCCAGAGACTGATGAGGGACATGAACACGAGGTCACCTCCTTCACCCCAGGAACTCTTCTGGAGGGACTCAGAGGCGCTGACCCCTGAAGTGGTCCCCTCCTTTTCCCACAGATGTTATGTGGACTCTCGTCCTCCTTCCTACCTCCAGGTACTGTGCTGTGGTTTAAGCTGCTTGATGTCGTTCTCACGCCTTACCTGTGGCATGTGCTGGCCTGCAGGCTGTCTATGCCTCCCTACAGAAACAAGACACACAGGGATATTAATTTATCTGGAGTTAAAATAACCCACTACTTACAAGGAGCGTGAAAAGAATAGTGAGCCCTGAGGCCACATGACAAGGCCATTTAACTTTTGATTTTAATATGAGAAAGACTGAAAAAGGGT